GAATGCAGGTTACCATGTTTTCTCGCAAACAAGAAAGAAAGGTCCATGGGGCAGGACATCACAGGGCTCCCCGCCAGCTGGTTCTGCTTCACACTCCTTTGCCAATTAGTCTTGCAATGTCTGCTCCAAACAAACAGGTTACCAATGAGCTTGTTTGTTAGGCATTGTTTCTGTGGCTTGTTTTGTCTGTTACAACAACCACTTGTTTTTATACTCTGGAGCTGGCAATTCAGGGGCATGAAGTGAAAGGTAAGAGAGGGAGAGACATAGACAAATGCCTCTGCACCATCCTCATTCTTGTTCTGATAGATTTCCCTAGTGAACATGCACCTGACTTCCCCAGGAGCAGTGCTGCATGGGGAAGGTGAAAAGCACAGTGCAGCAGCAAGGAGCTGTCCAGCCCCGCAGGCACAGCGCACTCCCCGACCCCTGACCCACGGGGCTGTGTTCCCTGACCTGTAGGCCACGCTGTATTTATCTCAAAAGAAATGTGAATTTTCAGATATTTCTCTGTGACTTTGCTGTGAAAAAGGAAATTGTCATTCATTTTAATCAGAAAAGCTGGATAGGGCATTTTTGGGTTGGCATATGTTTGGAAAGATTGAAGCTTTTATTTTCAACAGAATAACTGTATTCAGAGGTGAAGTTGATGGTTACATACTAATGCAAGTAAAAATCACTAATGTTCCTCAGCTAAGCTGTGATAAAGATCTAAACCAAGGATTTAGGAAAAAAAAAATGCACTGAAAATTTAGAGGGGCTTAGGAAATGAGAAGTCTGCTGTGGAACTTAACACTAACAGACACCAGCAATCTTGAGTCACTTAACATAAAGCTTTTACAGATTTTTGAAATAAGCAGAAATGAATCAAAACCAATGCTCCCTACTCCAGCATTCTGATGTTGCAGAACATCAGTCCAGGTCATCAAAGTGAAAAATTATTTGAGCTACATCCTTCCTAAACAACACCCATGCGTGGTACCACTTCATTTATGAAGACATAACACTGAAAGACTTAAAAACTTTCTACAGTGGCTAGATATTCCCATCTTTTACTGGCTGAGTTTTCCTACCTGCTGTTTCTCATTTCAGAATCTGTGGTTATCACAGAAAAACGTCTGGTTCCTCTTTCTGCTGTGCACTACATGTCACAAAAGAAATTGTAAAGCTTGTCTGGGCAAGAATTTACCTCTTCCCTCCCACTCCTACAGAACCACTTTGATGACTGCTACAAGCGTGATGAAGTGTTTGTCTCATGTATTGTAGTGCATCAAATTTTCTGAAATGCTGAAACACAGATTTTGGAACGTCATCATTAATATAGTCTGCTGTAGAGGCCATGTTAGTTTTTGGGGGGGATCTTTGTAGCTAGGTAAGAAAGCAGAAAATTAACTGTACTGCTTCCATTAAAAAGGTCCACATAGTACCAATTCTTCCACCAGCCACAGTCTGCCCTGCCACCACACTCCTCCCAGCCACACACACCTCCACCCAGGCTGAGAGGCTGTAGGGCCTCTGCCCTAACAAGGCTCTTCATGTTCTTCTGCCACAAGGAGAGCCTCTGAGACAGCTCTGGAGCTGGTGGCAGGTGGAGTCATGCCCTTTAGTTCCAAGGACAGAAGCAAATCTCACCTTATTAAGCCTCTTCAGCTGAAATAATTACAATACGCAATTTGTAATTAGAAGGAAGTGTTAGAACAGCCAAGTTCACACTAGTGAAGCAAAAACACACTGCAGCTTGGTTTACACATTTTGACAGCATAAATACATCAGTTAAAAACAAGGAGATGAGTGTACCTTCAGTACCTTAGCTATGGTAGGTAGAGCTGGGAAAATCATTAGTTCAACTTGTTGAAGCCGCAGAGAATCTGACATCTGACTGAAGTAGAACTAGGGTTGTGCAGGTACTGCTCAGTTGGCTGTCAACAGGTAACAAGACCTGATGGCAAGAAATTATACCCAGGGGGCAACTACGAGCAGCTGCAAGCAGTACCAGCACACATGGATCTGCAAGAGGATAACTTCCTCCTTTTATTTTTTACTTTTGTATTTTCACTAGGAGAGAAAATCCTATTGAATTCAAGAGGCTGATGAAGTTCTGTCACTATGCAATGTCTAACTACAGTTCACATTAACTTGGATGGGCCCATGATCATAATGATTAAATATAATCATTAGGAACTTGGCTCAGCTGCAAGTGAATTTCTCAAATGTAGAATGCACACAAACCTCCCTATACTTCTAAGTACATAGAAAATGTTAGTAATAAGCTATGTATTACCTAGAAACATATGGGATAAGAAGTGACTCAGCAGAAGGAAAAAAAAAAAAACAAAACAAAACAAACAAACAAAAAACTCAGCTTCTAATAACTGCTATCAAGCTAACATTTACCTCATGCTACTTAGAGCAGTCAGGTTTTGCTTGAAGATTTCATACTGCAAAATCAATGAAGACACCAAGTTCTTTATAGAAAATGAAGACATCGAATCCCTGTTTTAGATGGGAAAAAGAAAAAAAAGAAAAAAAAAACATTGAATTTTCAAGAACAGTACAATTTGTACTTCTATAATAAGATGTGACCAGCATGAATTATGACTATGATACTATTAAATAGTTCTGGTTCATCTACTATTCTCCCTCAAGAGCAACTTCAAGTTTCATCTCCATAGAGGTTTAAAAATACTGAATTAGAAGCATGTTTCTTTTTCAATTCACTTTTCTTTAAAACAGAACAGTGCAGTTAAAAACAGCTTGGACTGAGGGAAAAGAACTATGTATAACTAGAGACAAGTCAGCAGTATTGTAGTATTAAAAAAAATCCCATCCACTTGAGTTTTAAAATAGAAACTGCATGCCTAGGTTTTAACAAGGAACCACTTCCAGTCTTTTTCATTCTCTGTAATGGACAGGGTCAGGAACAAAAAGCAAAACAAGCTATGTAATCCATCTTAGTATTTATCTAACCATAGAAATTATAAAATGCTTTTGGCAGTGAAACTCCTTAAGAAGTCAAAAACCTTCTAAGCTTCCAGAACTGAGGAAGGAGTACTGCAGCAAGGGCAATCCTAGTAAAGGGTATAAATAGACAATGAATACAAAAACCACAGATCATAACCACAGAAAATAAATATTTTTAATCCTGAAGTGTGATGGCAACACTTTGTGACAACATGCCACAGTTGAAGGCAGTCAAACTCTCTTCTGGCTGCAAAGGAAGGTAAGCAGCCACACAGTGCTCTCTGCTACTTGCCTGGGACAAATTAAGATGTCTGTTCTTGCAAAAAAACAACACCATCACCCCACACCGCAGAGCTTCTTTTCTAATCTTCACAGAAATATCAGTCTTTACATTGGTTACTCAAAATCAAATCTGTTTGTCATCAGCACCATCTAGATTACGTCAGTTTCCAACATACAGCAAATCATTGCTGTTCACGCGTAACTTTCCACATCTACCTTTTCCCGTGTCACGCTGATCCTCCCACAGGCTGCCCCTCAACACCTGTAACCCTCAGCCACCATTTGGACTCCTGAATGCACATTGAGTATACGGCACTGTACAAAAGTCCGGTTCTTTTTTGTTGTTGTTGTTTTGTTTTGTTTTTTTTCAAATTTATTTTTCAAATTAAAATACGCTCCTGAAATATTTTGCTTGTGGAAATACCCATTGCACAGAATGAAAGCAGGTCATGAGCAGGCATACAAGACAGCGATAGGGGTGAAAAAACTGTGTGGTGCAGGGCGGGGAGAAGGAAATGTGTGGCACCAAACCCTGCTGACACGGTCTATTTCCCACAGTTTCCATTTTAACAAGCCACTCTGCCATGGGAGAAAAACTTTTCCACATGAAATTCATACTGGCTGCAGCCAGCATGCCCCAAACACTGACCTAGCCAGCAGGAAGCCCCTCTATAGCTTGCAAGACTTTGACAAAGCGTTTTATCTGAGGAATTTTACCAGAGCTGACGTTCCAAAAGAAAAAAAAAAAAACAATGTTACTGCTGCTCTCTGTTGTTACAAAGCAAAACTTTCGGCGTGCCGCCCCCTTGTGGCAAACAGCCGCCGCGGAGCGGCTGGGCTGCCGAAGCCTTCAGGGGACCGCCTCAGGGGACGCCCCGGGAGCCGGCAGGGAGCCGGTGAAGCGGGGCCGGGGAGCCCCTCCCTCGCCGTGTGCCTTCGGGGACCCGTCCCCTGTGCCCAAACGCGGCGCCTCAGCCCCGGCCTGGCAGCGGGCATTGGCAGGCGCCAGGCAGCGCCGCGTTCAGCCGCCTCGGCCCCGGCAGGGCTGAGCGTCAGCGGTCGGGGCCGGCAGCCGCGTGGGGGCGCCGGTGGCACCTCCCACCGACAACAACCCCCCGAGTCCCGGCGTGGCAGCGGCGACAAAACTAACCCAGCCGGCACGAACGCGGCCGCCGCGCTGCCTCGCAGCCCTCCGTGAGGAGCGGGGCGGGAGGATTCCTCTCAGCCCCTTCCCGCCTCAGCCGCCGCGCGCCGCCCAACGGCCGCCGCGCGCCGCCCGCTGAGGCGAGGCCGCCCCTGGCACGGAGCCGCCGAGGCTGCTTTGCCCCGAGGCAGCCGGGACCCCCCCCGGCCGAGCCCAAAGCGCCGCCCGCCCCTCCGGCTCCGAGCGGGAGGCTCGGCAGCCCTGGCTGCTGCCCACCCCCCCGCAGAGAACGCGTTTGTTGTCAGCTGCGCTGCAGGACGCCGAGCCCCGTCGGGCTTCCAGCAAAAGCCAGCCCCTGCTCCTGAAAATAGGGAAGGCGGCATCTAAATTCTCAGGCTGAAACCGGGGCTGGTTCGGCAGCCTTTTTATACAAACAAAGTGTGCTCGCCGCGTAGTATTAAGTTTTAAGCTTGGCGCTCAATACTTGTGAACGCAGCATTCCCGCTGCCAACAATTTTTACTCTGGTAGGACAGAGGTAACCCAGCCTGACAAAGCACGCAGCGTGAAGCCTGAGAAGCTTTACCCCGTTCCTTGACAGGCAGAGGAATTGCCTCATTTCACCTGCTATTTTTATAATGAGCTGCTCTTCTCACTTCCCTGGGTTGCACAGGCTGATCTCACCACTGAGCTATTTTTCCATTCGAGCACCTGCCCAGCCAACGCGGAGCAAAGCCTTAGCGGCAGGCCGGCTGCTCTCCCTGCCTGGGCAGCAGAGCCCCCACACTCGGTGCCGGGCGCCTGCTGAGCCTTACCCTGGGACTGCTGGGGCTGCAGGCAGTGCCACAGCACCTGCAGCATGCTGCTGCTGCTGCGGTTACAACGTAGCAGGCCAGGGACAATGGCAGAGGCCTTGACAAGCAGAGACAGGACGCAGTGTGGAGGAGTACAGGCACAAAGGTGGGGCAGAGGCTGGCCACAGGAGACCCACAGCTATCAAGAAATCACCTTTTTTTTTCCATTTGATCTGAAGGTAGCCAAAGCCAATTTTTATGCATAACAAAGAAGAAATAAAGAAAAAACCCTCCGAATATGTATGTAAATATGTAAAATATATACAGTAAAGTTGTTTACCACATGCCTTTGCAAACCAATGATGAAAGAGCAAGGTGTAAAAGCATGCTGGTAAACATAAAAAGGACCAAGTGAATTGCAGAGTGATAAAGAAGCAGCTGTCACCACCCTATTAATCCCAGCAAAAGACCCCAGGTGCTGGTGAGTGGCCTGAACACACCTAGCACCAGACTGAAGCCCCTAGCCTGAGGACCCATAGAAGCAGTGAAAGGGTGAGCACAGCACCAAGAAAAAGGGAAGGTGCCAGGAATTGTGAGTATAATATTTTTAACTGTATTATCATTGAGACATTTCTATGTAGAAGTTTTTGTTTGTTTGTTTTTACTGTATTATTATTGAGACATTAGTAAGGTTTTTTTTCTTGGTTTTCCTTTCTGTAATAATTAGATCAGGACTAATAATGATTCTTAGATTATGCTGTCAAGATTTCAGTTATACTAACAATAATTTCTTGGCTTTACATATGTTTCCTCTTTGCTCATAAACAAAGTTTTGAGAGTAACATGCTTTAAGCCTCTTACTATGTTACGTTATCACAGTTGTACTCAAAGTGCACTCAGAGTTGCAGAATGAAGGTCCTTGCCTTTGGAGGGGATTCCAAGCTACAGATTACTTTTCTTGAAGGAAGTACTGGAAAAAAAAATAGTAGTATGAAGAGAATTTAGCAAGATATAAAAGTTGTCATGGTAATGTGGTCTTACATGTAAATTAGTCTATGGATTTAGGCAAGTGATACTAAGAGCTGCCGACTATTTAAGGATTATCTTTTTTGTATGAAAGGGTTTTTGCAGGTGTTGCAATTAAAAGCTAATTTACTTATTTTAAAAAATATACGTCCTTGCAGATTATTTGTTGTAATTAAGATATTTATACAGTTCTTTGGAAGAAGCTCCATATTCTTGTAAATCAGCCTCTTCTCCCTCTCCCCTTCTATGGATTTATGTTTATATCCTGGTCAAACTTGGCTCTCTATAATGTTAGAAAGCATAACTAAAACTCATACAATTGTCTAGCCTTCCCAGCAGGGAAGGAGCAGCAGAGAAATCAAACATTCCTCAAACAGAACATCTCTATTGTTTGCAATAGCACCTTAAAAATAAAGGTTATCATTAATTAAATACTCGACATAGCAAAGAGTTGCAGACGTGGAATCTATTTCAAGTGCAAACTAAAAATACAGCTCCTTAATAATTAACACAGAGCAGGACTGATGCCAGTGCAGTATACATTCCTGCTAGATGCTCCCTAAATTAGTGTCACTTCCATATGCAATTAAGTCTGAGGAGTCCTGTTTAAAGGCTGACATTCCTAGCTATGCTAAAACCCTCCCACCACCTCGGATGGACCCAGAACGAGTGGTGTGTGACAGAGGTTGGCCTCAGCATTGCCACTTTATGGGTGCCTAGGAGATGCAGCTCTCAGCACACAAGCTGTCCTCAGACCAGCGTGCCTGCAGCTTCAGCTGCCCCTGCAGGGATCGCTGTAGCTGGGCACCCATTTCACAGCCTCTTCCCTGTCATGCTCCGGAAGCCATAGCAAGAACAGCGTTAAAGAAAGAGCTGAGCTCCCCCAAAAGGCATGTGTGATGTACCAGGCAATGACCAGCAGAAAGGCTGGATAAGGAGGTTTCTTGCCAGCCTGGTTTCATGTGACCTGAACAGCTCAAGGGGATATGTCTGACAAATGAACTGAATCCATCTTCAGCCCTCAGAAGCTGGAAACCAATCTAGGGTTGAAATGTGAGTGAGATCTGCTGGCATAGCTGTCTGGCCATGGTATTTTAGTATTTTTGGAAATGAAATTTGAGTGCAACAGATTATTCAGATGGGACTCAGTTTTTGAAAAGAATAGAGATTATTTATAAGAAGCTTGATAGGCATATGTGGGCTGGAAGATAGCAGGGAGGTGAAGGGAAATTAGTGGTAGAAGATATGCAAGAAGGGGATAAATGTGAGCTCTGTAACAGTGAGCCCTGGAAAACAAATACCGAGGGCATGGGAAACAGAAATGGGAACAGACCTCTGCCACCTTCCAAGCATGTGCGAGGAAATCCTTCCCTGGCAGTAGGGGTGGAAACCCCCTCCCTGCCCCCTGAGGAAGCTGGTTCCAGGGTCGGGCCGGTTTGTCGCTCTAGGATTGTCATCCAGGGACATGACTCTTTAAGCCCAGCTAATCCTAAAACATAGCAGCATCTGGGCCACTGCTGGGTAACCAAGGAATTAGGCTCCAAATAAAGCTGCTCCGTCTGCATGCACACGCTGGAGAGCATATGCGCTACCACAGACTAGAGGCACAGTAAGGTGGGGGGGACTGCTGCAGATTTGAAAGGAGTTCAACTGCTGTAGATACCAGGGAGACCTGCCACTACTGCTGCCACAATTCAGTGACTTAGCTGCCTTACATACAAAAGCTAATGCTAAGTAGCAAAAAGTTCAGAGTGAACAGCTCCCAGTATTGCAGGGCAGGTAGCAAGTTGCACAGTTTAATTCTGTGCTGTCTTATAATATACTTCCTTATGCTTATTTTATGCTTAGTGATTGCACTGGACTTGCTCTTGGGAGGAAGAGCAAAGGAGAGCTCTTGGGAGAAACAGTCATTTCTGAGTTACATTTTCCACAGCATATTTGCATTTGTTGTTCCCTGACAGATACCTCTGCTCATTGTTTCTGCTTTGAGCTGAAGAATTCTGGACTGAACCTCTTCTGCCTGTTGCAAAAGGCTAACTGTTCAGGTCATAAAGCAAAAGAACAGAAAATAAAGAGGCTGCTTTTTGTTTCTGCCTTGCTTGCTCTCTCCCCAAATTTATGCTGTATTCAAAGCAAGGCAACATCATAGATATATTCTGTGAGATGAAGATGGCTCCTTTTTCTTTTCTTCAATTCGTTTCCTAATAATGCCTAATGTTTTACTTGTCTTTTTGCCATATGCTGAAATTGAATGGTCTGAGACTTTTTGTCCTGCTGGCAACAGCTAATTTACCATCTAACTTTCTGTAAATATGGAGCTATTTTTCCTTATGTGTATTGCTTTGCATTTATCACTAGTGAGTTCATTGCTCAGTAAACAGCCTCCCATTTTCTACTACTTCTCCCTGGTACTCTGCAGACTGCTCTCTGCTGGTCCTTACTGTGCTGTGCAAATTCAGGATTGATCAATTTCAGTATGCTCAGTATTTCTGTGAAACTGGCACTGGAAATCCAGGCCATAAACCAAGAAGCAATTGGGGCTTTAGACTGATGGAAGTCAGCATCCATATCCTGAAACAGAAGCCATTTTAGAAGAATCTTGAGGATTGGATCATGAGATTTTTTTTCTTTCCCTGAAACAAGAACAGAAGAGAATAAAAGTTCATTCCTCACAGCGAAGGGCAAGTCTTAGGCACGTCTGCAAGCAAGGACTTATTTCTTGTAAAATCTTTAAGTGGTGATGTCAAAAAGCGATGGTGGAAGAGGTATAGAGGGTGATGTAAAGAGATCTCAACTGTGTATCATGATTTCCAACTGCAGTCAATGGAAGACAGCAAAGCTGTTTCCCCAGAAAGCACCTGGCAACCTATTCCCAGTCTGGTTCTGGAACCTGCCATCATGTTTGCAGATGTACACGTACCACCAAATTAAGGCAGAATTTTGACTTCTGCTGTATCTTGTTAAATCCTCAGCATTGCAGCGAAGTTGTTAGTGGTGCAGTAGTGCATGCAGTCTTCAATGCAAGTGTTTGTAGGTGACATGTTTTGCAACATGCTGGGAGATAGCAACCAGTTCTGGACAGCATGAGCTACTACTGGAAACTCATTCAGGAAGCGAAGGCTACTCGCCAGCTGATTGCTAGCCCATGTGGAGCTCGAGAGCTCTCAGTGCTATCTTGTTCTTACAAGAAATACTTGACACTTCAGAACAGAAGCGCTGTGCAACCATATGCCAGGCCCAGATGTTGATCGAACTTCTGATAGAGTTTACATAGCCAGTCTTCTACTCAATTCTCTAGCTCTAATTTCATCTCTGTGGAAAGCTTGTTAGTTAAAAGTCTTCTGTCCCCACTATCTGTCTCTGTTTAAGGATGGCCAACAAGCCTTAGCAGTAGCATGCTAACATTATTTCCTTTCATAAATCTGAGTCTCTAGAATTCTCACTTCATCTTCAGGACATTGAAAATTTAACGTACTCCTGAAATAAGTGAGTGGATTTTGGTTTTAAGGAAACATCATCAACCAAGCCAGTGACTAAGGCTGTGCAGAACAGTCCTGCTCTTCCTGATAGCCTAATCATATATATATTCCTAAAATCCCATTTGAAAGGAAGATGATCTCCACCTCTCTAAAAGCACAAGTTCTGTTTGGAAAGTCAAGCCATATACAATGTTTAAGTGGAATCTCATGTATGAAAGTAGTTAAGTAAAATCTGGGCTTGGAACTTCTTCGGCTCTCCCAGCTGCAACATTTCCAACAGGCAACTTATTATTTTGCTAGACCTGGGACAAAGTATATTCCAGTGGTGCTGAGTGCTCCACTCCCTGGAAGGATGCTAGCGATGACTCCACTAACACCGAGGGGGTTGCATTCAGGCCTAGGAAGCACAGAGGGATTCCAGTACCAGCAGAAGACAGTGTTCAGCAGAAGCAGCCTGATCAAGAACCTTCTCTCACTCCATCTTTTCCTTTGTGAACAGCTTGAGCTCCTAGGCCAGAGTCCAAGCTGGCCACTTCTACTGACCTCAGCAAAGCTGTGTAAACATGCTGATTTCTTCCAATGTATTTGGCATCACGCCCCTGCTGCTCAGTGGTTCTTCAAGCGCATAGGCTTGGCCACGTGGACCTCTCCCAGCCACCCTCCCCTGGGTCTGACCTCATGCTCACACTACACTGATTCAGGAGGTTTTTCAGTCTTGCTGAGAACTACACATATACAGAGCATTTGACAAGCGTTTCTCACAGGAAAAGGTGTAGACTGAGCTTAGCTTAAGAGAACATTCAGACATTTAATTCTGCATTTTGAAAGTCATATCTATTGAAAATCCTCACAGAGAAGGGAGAATTACATAGGTAGCTGTACTTCAGGAATGACTTTGGTCCCAGCTAGTGCAAAATTTAAAAACTGTGGCACATTAAGTGATTTTCATAAGATTTTAAAAAGCTGAAACTACATTTTGTGCAGCATGAACCAATTCTCCTTGCTGAGAATCTGAAGGCTAACCACAGGTGTTTAAGCAAAACTACAGTTGCAGTATGTTTAATCTTTGTATAAGCATCTTAACATGTGATGACAACAATAGGATAGCTGTATATTTATATCCTCTTCTGAGGAACATAAATGGATTTAGTCCTCTCTAAAGAGAAGTTATTTACAGTCTTAAATTGGATATATAATAGACTAGCAAATCAGTCTAGAGTACCTTTTTGTCCCAACAGTTTTAAGTGATGTTCTGCAGGAATACATGACATGTGAAGTCTTGCGTAATACTGTTTTGTCTCGTTTGAAATCATTTTTCAAGAACCAGTATAACCTACACCTAAAGAAGAAAGAAGAAATTTTTATGATTGCTTGGTATAAAATAGCTATTCCTCCCCATCCCCCAAGATCCTCAATAAGAATCTCATTGTAATCTAAAGGATTGAAGGAAAAAAAAAAAAAAGTGAGATAAGGCTCCAATTTCAAATCAGATGTATATGACGACTATATGCAGCACACAAATTCCAATCTGATTTTTCCATTGGGAACATTAGATTTTTAATAATAAAACTAAATATACTGCCAGGTTATAAAAATAGCTAGGACAAAGGAGACTACAAACAACATTTGCATCACTTCTATTTAGCGTACAATTCTATTTAGTTACGAAGCTCCGTTTCTGCTGCTAGTCTTCCATTTTAGCACTTGAAACTGGAAAAGCAAGATGACCTTAATTGGATAAGCAAGCTTTGCCCTAAAACTCCTTAAGACAAAACTTTGATATAAGCCAGCAAAATGACACCAACGCTACACAATTTTATGTAATACATTCATCAACTACTTGTTAAGTTTGAGGCTCAGTAACCTGAAGATCAACATCTTGAACCTAAATTCATGCCTAAGAGTAAAGCTGTGACACAAAGTAATCTCATTGCAAGTTTTTCCTTATGGTTTGTACTTAAATTCCATTCAGATCCTAACTATAAATTAAACAGCTGACTGGAAAACAATGCAGGCTGGATATTTTAAAAACTTTGCCCCAGAAATGTTACCAAGAGCCAAATTTGTGGGACAACAGGCCAACACCACATCTGTAAAACAGAAGTTGTAGAACTTGGGGATAATTCCCAGAAAATATGTGCGTGTATAGCTTTTGAATGGACTCATTTGATACCAAAGCAACTTCTTTCTTTTCTTTTCTCACTCATATTTCTGCAGAAACACCCTTCACTTTGATTTTTATGCATTGGTTCTGCAGTAACAGAAAAATACATAGGGGTAGGGAGAAACGGGTGGATGGGTTTATCTACAAACATACATACATTCCCATGTATTTTTCAGCAGGGCTTGCTTGACTTCTGAATTTAGACTACTTTAACTATGTTGTAGGCTTCCTACCAGATACAATACTGTAATGGAGAAGGAACCCAAACAGCAGGAACTGTCGCTAGGGCATTTATCATAGCAAAATTAACACTTTCATGTCTATCACTGGCTGGAAAGAGCCAAACTATTTCTAGTTTATGCATTTGTGGTTTGTTTCTTTTTTTCCTTAAAATCATAACCCTTGTAAATTTTCTCATTTTAGTTTCTATTGGATTCATTAAACTTCAGTGAAACTAAAGGAAAAGAAAATGCAAGATAAGAACCTGCTGAAGTGTGCTTCAAATCCTTAACAAATACTTCTTCAGGTGACAAATAACCATCTCCACACTTAAACATGAAGTCTTCAGTGCACCTTTGACTCCAGCCTTTTTCCCAGTAGAGCATTCTCTTTTCAGTGTCTTTATTATTTACTTTCAATGGAAAGAACACATTTAATCCCCTTAAGGAGGTCAAGTGACAGAGCTAGAAAGTTTTGCCAAAAGAGTAAAAAACCATCACACCAACTCACTCACCTGACCAACACTGAACTGTCATACTAGGATGCAATCACAGGGTCATCTTTACAGGTGGAATGAGAACCATTTAATCTGTTCTGTGTTCTAGGTTAACACTTTCTCCCCCACTTTTGAAAAAATAAATGCAGACACAACTAAATCTTCTGTTATAAAACAGGAAACTGATTAAGAATTCCTATACTGGACAGCAAATCTAAATAAAATCCCTGCTGCTCTTCCATTTACTCCAAAATGCATCAGTCATCTACTCTGTATCACCAAGTTTTACACTGCAAGAGTTTACCCTACTATTAATGTTTATCCAGCAACGAATCTTCTAGATAACTTTGGACTACCTAAGCAAGGTTAGAATTTTAAGGTCTGTACTGGATATAAAAGGAATTAGGTACTAACATTTTCACAACTCTTTTTATTACTTAGTAATGTAGCTTTCAAGAACACATTTCAAGAAATTCTTTGGCCTTTACTTGCAAGCTGATGAAACAGAGGTTCAATGCATAGTATCAGAAGATAGGGTTTAGGAGACTTGCAGGTACAGTTTGGATAAAAAGAGGTAAAAGATACAAATGCGTCTTTCATATTTAAGGCACTCTCCCTAGTGTAGTTCTTTCCTCCCAGTGAGTCTGCCTTCACCAGGACACCTTACAACATCTCCGGGCAGGGCCTGTTGTCACTAACAGCTATCATACCAAGCGTGGCAACCTGAGACTTCACTATAGTTGCAGATCGAGGTCAGTTTTCACAGCTGGAATGAAGATCCTTGTGGCATTAGTAAATCAATCTACCTTTTGAAAAACAACTTCAGGCAGTTCCATTATTTATAATGGTTTCACTTTTATTTACAGTAACACTATCTGCACCTATTGGTGCTGCTTATGTCTTAATAAACTCAAGTCCCTTAGACAGGGGATCTGTAGCGCAGGTAAAAAAGAGCACGTACGAATGGCTTCTGTTCCACATAGCTAAAAGAATCTAGCAGTGTCCTTTATCCAGAGGCAAATTAAAGTATTACATGTAGGATGAGAAACAGTAGCAGCAAGAATTACATTGACCTGATTTTGAAAACATTTTGCAAGGAGATTCAGGACAAATTCCAATCTCAAAAAAAAATTATATATATATATATATATATATATATATAAAGAAGTGCTTAATAGAGAAGAATGACAAGAACTTAAGTTCCTTTATCTTTTGAATTCAAGTACACTTTTTTTTTTTTTTTTTTTTTTTTTTTTTTTTTTTTTTTTTTTTTTTTTTTTTTTTTTTTTTTTTTTTTGCTGCTTGAACGTTCAAGGAAGCACATTAAGGAAGAAAAAGAACTCTACTGAAAAGGCCACATAGGCTGGGTCTGGTAACAGCCCCAGCTACCTAAATATGCTGTGACTTCCACATACCCAAAGAAGAAATTACTGATGTCCAGAAAGGGAAGATGAGGGAAAACAGAATGCTTGCTAGTGCATCTGACAGCAAAAACATCTCCATTAGTTCAGTGAGTCACTTGAGCCTACAAACACGGTCAACACCAAGAATGCCTGTTAGAATGCCCTGTTAAAGAAAATTTAGAACTAAATCCAGTAATTCCCACCAGCATCTTTGTCCACCCAGAAGTGGCTGTACAGCAGTGACAGTTCCCTAGAACTGCACTATTCCAGCTGCACACTTGGCACAGATGCTCCACTCCAGGGCAAGAAGAAAGCTTTTATACCTTTGTGATCACTGTCCTGTCTTCCCACTCAGAGACTCAATCTGCTGACAGCAGAAAACAAAGTCCATTAGGCCAGCTTGAGAAATGATCTCCAACGCTATCACCTGCTTTTACATTAAGCTTCTAATAAATCAGTGCTATACAGATCATGCCAGACTACTTTGTCATTATCCAGAAACCCTGTTTTTCAGAACAGTCTGAAAATGAAATAATCTATGTGAAAGACTGACTCCCAAATCTATAGAGGCTTCACAATTGTCTTGTTTATCTGAAGATGCTGGTGTCATCTCAAAGCACCCACAAATAATGCTTCCATTACATAGCTACTGACAAAATAGCCTAGAGGAAATACTTTTTCCTGGATGTTATGAATTTCATGGGAAACACCTGCCTACATAAAGCTGTATCTGTCTTTAACAGTGCCACATACTAATAACATACCGTTCCATGTTTCCGACTGCAGAAGGACCCCTTCACAGCACAGAAATAAAATTCCATTATGCTGATGCTTGTTAGAGTGGCAATTAGATGACACAGCACAGTTTCATTTGCCCTTATTATAGCTGATGACTTTCTGCATATTGTACCTGTATTGTAGTTGGATCAATTAAGAAAATTACATGGAAAAAATTCATCCTGAATCAATTAAAGCATCATTCCTATTAACAAAAAGAACAACACAATTTTCTAATTTTTCTGCTGAAGAAAGCAGCTATTAACGTTCTTCATAATGTGAAAAGGATCACCGTAAAACAAACTGCCCCATTTCCCTTATACTCTTACACATTTTGTTACTTCAACTACAGCTCTTCAGATTTGTCACATGCCCCTTCAGCTTTAAGATCAATAGCAACTTGTGTGGAGAACTCCAAAAATGTATTAAGAGATTCAGTAACTCTCCAGAAAATGTCAAACCCTAGTTGGTTCGATTACCTTGGGGTCCAGGCACTTAATTCTGTTGTCCCAAAACACCAATGCAAAATACAGCACTACCTTTAGGCCTCTTTTTATATTACGTTTTTCTTTTGAAAATTTACCTGACACTGCCTTCTTTCTGCAGTCACTCAGGGGAGTGCTTTATTACATGTTAAAAGACAAGATATGTATTGAAAGTAGCAATTTTATTTGAGTTAAAATTATTTACAAAAACCCAAAGACATACTTCATGAAACTGGTACAAACTATTTTTCCTGCCGTTGGCTTTTGCTCCAAAGATCACAGCTGAGAAATACTGTATAAAATAAAAATAGGATTGGATTCAGAAAAGTACTCTACTTGTTCTAATTTCCAATTGAGAGTATTTACACAAATATTTACAATGGAAAAAAAAGTTACTTTAAAACTTTAATTTGCAAGTTGGCCTCAAGTACCCTTTAATGCAGAGTTATTTGAGGGTCTAACACACAAAAATGCACTGCAGTTCACAGGGTGATTTCTCCCCCCACCCTCAAAAAAAAAAATCTGCGTTTGTCAGTGCTTGACAATTAGTTACATTTAAAAAAACTGTTAAACACTGAGGTAAATCAATTCCCAAACAATTACCAGTGTAACAAAGAAAGGTAGTTGTCCCTGCTTTCCCCCCCAACATCACATCTGTATTGTCTCTTGCCATCACTCCACAGTAACTATATAATCATTCTGAAATCCAACTGCGATTGAAAATCTCTGAAATCAGAAGACTAGATGGACAAAATACTCGTTTTTCCTCCTGGTAGAGATGATTGAAATACAGCTTTTGTTTCTCAATACTGAGCTGTTTCTGTTTAGTTTTTAAACAAAGGGGAATACAACCTCAAAAACTTTTCTAAGTTACACTGATACACTAAGTTTTAGAAGGTGATGAGAGAAAACGCAAAAAAGTATGACCAACATTGGAT